CATTCAGTCACTTATGGTGTCAATGTTAGGAAAAGAGAAGAGGTGACCTCTGGTCTTTTGGAGAAAAAGGCAGTGACTTTTGCTGTCACCTCCAATCTTTCTGTTCTAAAACCACTGCAGAAGTGAATGTGAGTGTGCACGTGTAAGTGTTGTTCCCGAGAGCCATCCCAGCTGGGATGGTTTTCAAAGCCCTCTGCAACTAAGAATCAGATAAATAGTGTATAGAAGATGATTGTCCTGATACATAAGACCTTAGAATTAAAAGAGCTTCTTTTTTACACATGGCCGTATATATGTATATATGTATGTATAATACACACAAACAGCTGCACCACTCCCTCACACACACACAAAAGTACTCACATACTGTGGATTTGTTTTCTCTGTGATGAGAGGGATTATAGGATAAAGGAGGCAAGGCCACAGCAGTTTAGTTCAGTTTGGACCAAAGCTGCTCTCAACAGCAGCACAATGACAAACACAGATGAATGTCTGGCTACACACCGGGAAGCTGCACAGCCGTTAACACCGCAGTTATCGTCTATACGGAACACAAGAGCCTGTGATTGGGATTCAGGAGTAGCCGTGGATCTGTTTTTTTTTCCGGATGACTGAAGATCAGCAGAAACATGAGCTACTAAGCAAAATCTGTGGATGCAACAGACAAGGAACGAGCCCAGCTGTGCTGAAAGGCAGCCGCTGCCCCTGAGGATATCCTGAAGATCACATTTTCTATGATGCCTTCATGGCATCCATTAACGGAGTTTTGGAATGTTCCTTTTTCTCAAGCCAAGTGAAACACCGTTTTTGTTTTGGTCCGGCCGCCTCAGTCAAGTTTGATATCCAACAGGCAAATTTATTTTAGCTTCCTCTCTGCAAGCCATGGCGTAACAGAAAGATGTATCCAACCCATCAACCGCACAATGCTGGAATCAATCAGTTGGAGTTTTATGGAGATGATGTCCTTATATAGTATGCATTTTATCTGCTTTAAGGCTTTTTGCTCTCTTACATGTGATAACAATGGCCCTTTATTTCACACAGGAAGCCAAAGAGTTGCTCATAGTTTATGGCAATTTATTCTGTTTAAATAAATTAAACAAAAACACATATTTCAGCGGCATTTCACCGGCTTCTCATCTTTTATTGCATTTGTGTAGAAAGTTGAGACATTTTAATTGCTTTAAAACTGTTAATGAACAATTTTAGCCGATTTTAGTTGGAAAAAAGTCTCTTTTTGTATCTCCCGTTTCTCATTCAGTTCCCTCCCTGCTGAATTCCTCCGTGGCACTGCCATTTTCAGTGAGCACATTGACTGTTGTCAGTATTTTGCTCATTGCATGCATGGATTTTTTTGCAAAGCGACTACCACAGCGCTGCTCTTACATGCTGCCATTGATTACTTAGCTACGGAGTCGATGAGCTGTTATTCGACTGCGGTCGATTGCACTAAGCAGTTCTACCTCACACTGCAAGTCACACAGGGATGAGAAGTCACACTAATTGGACTGAGAGGATTCTAACCAGCAGGGTGCTAAGTGTTCCTGAGTGCACTCATCCAGAGCCAATGGATTGTTGAAATAAGATGATTCTACACAAAATCCTCTCAGTCAAACTAATAACAAAAGCTAAAACAAAAAACGCTCAAAGCACTTTTTAATGTTAGTTTTCTTTAAACATGTGTCAGAAGTGAAATAAGTTATTTAACAAAAAGATAAATTGGTGAGCCATTTTACTCGGTTTGTACTGCTTGATTTCAGCTTTTGGCCTCAAATCCTTATGTATTCTAACATGTGAAATGATTCTTCCTTTTCTGTTTCTCAGTCATAGGAATAAAACATCTGGCTGGCCACCCCCTGGCCCAGGTTCATGGGGAGGACTGCAGGGGCCCCCATACAGTTGGGACAGCATGAACAACACCAGAGATGGACGGGACTTCCTCACCAAGTATGTTTGATGCAGATTGTGTTTTCACACAAATATCTACAGTTGCATCTGGTTGCATCATGAGAGCCCGCTAGAGAGTACTGTATGGCATTTTATTGGTCATGAATCATGGTCACTGACATTTATTGAGTAGTTGTTTGTTTGTTTAAGGTTTTCTCAGTACTGATCAGTAATCCATGACAAAGAGCCTTGTCTAACAGCTGGAAGCCCGTTAAAGAGCCCACATTAAGCTCATTCCCAAATTGGTAATTTTGTTAAAGGCATTATCAGAAAAGCTAAAAATACTTTGATATTTAAAACTCACATAACTGGCCTCACTTCAGCTAATTTTCTGTCACTTTTTGTCTGAAAAAAAGAAAGGCAAGAAAAGTTGAGACGGCATATTTTAAAGAAACAGAGCTAATGCCATTTGATACAACCCACAGTGTGAAGGAATTGGTAATAACACAGTAAAGTGCATCAGCTGTTGAAATTCATGCAAAGTTTCCAGTTTAACACAAGAGGAGTTAAAAGTACAGTGATTGTGCCGGTGCTACAGACACCGGCTCATCTGGCTTTGGTCCTCCACTTGCACAAAAAGTAACCAATGTAATTTTGAATTCCACTAGTGTAAGCACTTTTGTCTCTGTAAATTTGTCATGCAGGAATAAATCCCCTGCTCGAGTTGGATTGACATTGAGATGCTGGCACGCAGATTTCAGGCACAAAGAGTCCAGCTTTATTTAGATGCTGTGGGACAGCCTATCTGTGCACATCCCTGATTTCCGACTCGCTGTGAGAGTGGTTGATTGTCAGGTTATTTGCACATTGTATTGAAGACATGCTTCTCCTGGATGTGCTGTCCTGTTGTGCTCATACAGCTTGTGCTTTCCAGGTGTATTGGTGGTATTGTGCAAAGAATTATGACAAATGTAACCCTGTTAGTAGCCTACTTATGTCAACACATGACTTGATTTTGCCTGATAGTCAAGAAAAGGTTAATCAAGTCTCTTAAGCTTGTTATGTAACTCTTACTGCTTCACTCTTAAGTGTATAAAATCTGTTTGGACTCGTGCTAGCTCTTAAACTCCTTTGAAATTAACTCATGATTAAGGATTTCTGATTCCAGTTATATTAAATTGTCCATGGCACTAAAGGAATAAATAATTTGTCCCAGTTTTTCCTTATTTTTATTAGTAATTAAAGAAGAAAAGAATAGAAAAATAACCACATACAAATATTTCTCTTAGTTAGCAGTGTCTTTTCCATTCCTCCTTGGCTAGGATATGACCTTTTGATTTCAGCTTACCCCTAACCCCACTACCCTCACTCTGTCCTTCTGTGGGATTAAACCCTTCAACCCTGGCAAGAAAGATGAGCCAGTGCTTCAAATTGGAACATGCTTCATGACAGACAGATTTGGATTGAAATTGAAATCAATGTGATAATAGAAGGGAGGTTAATAAAAGGTCGGAAAAAGGGGAGGGGATAGACAAGTGTAAAATAGATGTAAAAACGTACTCTACCTGGGGCAGATTCAAGTGGAGCTTCATGTTTAAATTCTAGTTACCCATACGCTTTTACCTATTTTACCTTTTCAAATTATTTAAACCTAATTTTAGAGGTAATCATCAAGATCTATCACTCAGGCAAACGTCATTCTATTTAGAAAATCAAAAGATATCTTAACGTTGAAGCAGCAACACACTCCAGAAAGTCAGGAAAGACACAGGTGATTTTGGTGTCCTTGATTTACAAAGACTCCTGGTACATATTTAGTTTGATTTGGTTTCTCCAGTGATTCTCTAAAACATTTAAAGGGCCTTTGAATTGTTTTGCCACCCAAAGGCAACAGGAAGACTGCTTAATGGCCATATGTTGTTGTGCTAATGGTATTTGATGGTGTCAGAACGAGGCATCAAAACCTTAAAAATCTTTTTTCAGCATTCTATAAAGCAGGCTAACAGGCCAACCAAGTAATGTCTATCTCATTCAGTAACTTTAAGTGTAGTAACTTTAAGTCAATCCCAGGCCCAAAGATGCTTGAATCTCTTTGGCAGAACCACTCGACTATGGCATGCTGCGATTTGAGCTGACTTGTTGGGTTTTAGATGTCTATTTGTATCTTAAAAGCACATTTCGAATGATGAATTGTCAGTGAGTTCTACGCTGCATCTTGATGTATCTTAGTGCATTTACAAGACTTTCAGGAGAATTGTGGCATTTAAGAAAGAGATTCAGATTTCAGATTCAATTTTAATCACATAAAGATATTAATAACAAACCATTAATTTGATGGTAGTGATTACTACAGTAAATTACTAGTTCAACTTTAAAGGAGAGGGCATTACAGAGATAAACTAGTTCTTCATGCTATATAAATTGTGTCATGATTCAGCAATCGGTGAACTTTTAATTTGAATAGTCTATAGACCTCTATGTGGTATTAAGCAGTAAATAGGTTCTAGATCACAAATCCGAGGTATTTTATGTCAGAAGCAGGTAAAGTGGCTCTTCAGGCTTAAAATGCCATGTACTGGAGCCAAAACTCTGATTTATGTGAGGTTAATCCAACAGTTCTAAATATCCATTCCAACTTCATTGTTTTTTATGTGAGCCAAAATTCTACAGCAAGGAATAATTCATTTAGAACCTCTAATGTGCACTCAGCTGTGATCTTTAAGGAAGCCTTCTCTGGCCAACAGGATGGATTTGATCTTTTTGTCATTGTGCCAATCACCCACAATGTCATCTTCCAGTAAGACTATTTGCTGACTCATTAAACATCTCTCTTTGGGTAGCCAGGTCAGCAAATGGTCTGAAAGTCTTTGCCCTCTTGATTTGTTCCATCACATGTTTAATTTGGTTGTTCTTCCTGCTTTGTATTTTTCAGCCAAGGGTCCCAGAACAGCTCATTGGAGGAGGTCCACCAGGACGGCTTCCCCCCTGCCCCTCGTCTGGTGGAGATGCGACGGGACCCGGTTCTGGGCTTCGGTTTCGTGGCAGGCAGTGAGAAACCGGTGGTGGTTCGCTCTGTCACACCAGGTGGGTGCCACAAGTAGAACTCGCACGGCTCAAGTGTTACAACAGACAACCTGCTCTGTACTGACAGATTACACCCCGAATTCATATGCCAGTCACTTTCCATAGCCCACAAACATGTACGCCTACGAGAGCGATAAGGAATATCAACAAAGTTCCTAATTAAGTTGAGATATTTTACATGATTGACTGAAGTTCATGGACCAGATGTTGTATCAGAGTTAGCTAAATTCAGTAGCTTCCCGGAATCATTCATCTCTTCATGCCAAAATCAATGTATTTTTATCAACAAAAAAAAAACAACACAATTATTTGTTTTTGATAATCCTTTCCTACATGGATGTATGTCAGTTGAAGGGTTGATTGCCAAATTGCTGCCAAGCTCCTGACACACTTCGATCAGCCATCAGCTCCATCTGTGGCACACACACACATAAACTGGACATCTCAGCCATCAGTCAGTGCTGAATTCAAAGCAGATGGCTGAATTGATATTCTGTTTAAACTTGTTGTCCCAAAAAAAATGGGAATAGAGCAGCTCAATCATGTGTTTCAATGTTATCAAAGTAAAGAAGAGATGTGTGTAAGTATGCACAAAATCACACGCTCAAAAATAGTGTCCCATTCATTGACATATAAGCTTCAGCAGACAACATAACTCTGTTCGCCTGATGCCAGCATTAGGTTGTTTGATCAGCGGTGACCTGTTTCCATGGTTTTATATGCAGGTGGTCCATCAGAGGGGAAGCTCCTGCCAGGCGATGAGATCATCATGATCAACGATGAACCGGTCAGCTCGGCTCCTCGAGAGCGAGTTATCGATCTCGTTAGGTACGTGCACACACTCAGGGACTCAGCCACATCTGTAAGAGTTCAGTTCAGGTCAGCTGGGTGCTGGATCAGTTTTATTTTTTCTCTCGGAACATTAAAAACACACAGATTTGCACGGTTATAGAGCCAGATGAGGTGGAAAGACTTTGTTATTGTTCACCCTCTGGACAAAATATTTCTGACTGAGGATAGCTAAGTTAACCTGATTTCGAAAAATCTTTCTTTAAATAAAAAAATGTAAAAATGTAGCTTAGTATTTGTGTTAATGCCGAAAGCATTGATTACAATTTTTGTCAGTCCTTAAGATATAGAATTTCCCCACCTATAAATCCTCAATGTGCTTAAATACCCATAAACAGAAACACACTGATTGAGTTGAATTTATAACGGTTTGATCAATCTTAAGCAGCAGATTAAACAATATATATCTAGAAAGAACAACAAAACATTTATTTTTCATGATATCAAAGCCGTAATAATTTATTTGCTTCTTAGAATATCATTATTATTACTCCAATTTAGTCTTGTGCAAGTCTTGTGCAAGTATTAGAAATTATTTCATCATCATCTGAGTTAATCCACTTTTCTTCAAAAGTGTCTCTCAGTATTTGGCATGCCGTGACTCAAAATGCATCCACTGCATTGGATCAGCAATTACTTTTTTTTTTTTTAAATCAAATAGAAAAGTTAATGACTTAATGAATGAATGGCCCCAGTACACGCTGCATCAGGCCAGAAGCATCTTATTCTATTTCACCCAAGCTAATCAGGTTCCTGTTGTTTATCCACTCCTGCTGTTTTCTTCTCTTTTTTTTACTTTGAATTTGTTGACCTAGTAGTTCTGTGTTCTGTCTGCTTGCTTCAGGAGCTGCAAAGAATCCATCACGCTGACTGTTATTCAGCCGTATCCCGTGAGTAGATGTTGTAATCTTTGTGAAATCCTTGTGAAATCCTTGTGAAATACATTTGTCAGGAATATTGGAAAGTCTGTCTTTCTCAATTAGTATACTATATCCAGCGCAGAGGTTTTTTTTTTAATAAGCTGGAGCTTGCCAATACAGAAGACCTAATCACTCACTATTCCATACAGAGAAGTGCTGGTTATACCCATCAATTGTAAATTTGAAAATAAAATCCACAAACTGACCATAATCAACAAAAGACTGACACTATTTATACGTTACCCTGATTCAGTGTCAGATCCCGATGGGAGTTACTCCTCTGTGTAAAATCCGGTTTCGTCATATATATTCAAACATCGTCTCTAAAGCAACTCCAGACTACATTTTCAATGTTTTGACAATAGTCCCCCACAATTTCCTTCTTCCCTCCCTTCTTAGAAACAGTTATATAAAGCAAAACACAGGCAATAATCGGGGAGATTTGTAAAAGGGTGATTTAGGTCAAAAGTTCGGCTGTTAGAAAAAAATGTGTTTTGGTCTGTCATTGGGAGTGTTCACAGCAAACAGTAGAATAGCAAATACTATCCATCTGAGCTTTATTGACATATAGATACATGTGGTTTCCTGTAGCTGCATGATCTCATCTTTGCCCTTTCACTTTTCATTTTAGGGCTGCACCACTATTAAGGAAAAAAAAGAAAAGTTGTTTTTCAATGTTATATGCTGATCATTTTTATTGCAAATCAAAACGACTTGGAAGCCAGCTATTGTCTCTGGATTTGTACATGTGTTTATGCCTCTCTTTATGTTGTTGCCTCCATCTGTCTGCCTCCTTCTTCCTCTCCCTCATCTCTCTCCATCTTGCCTTATGTCTGTTTTTGGACGATGATGTCTTAGTCCCCTAAATCAGCGTTCATCAGTGCAGCCAAAAAAGCCATGCTGAAGTCCAATCCGGTCAAAGTGCGCTTTGCTGAGGAGGTCATTATAAACGGCCAGGTTCCAGTCAGTCCAACTGCACGCACATGCACACAAACACACATCTGTATACAAAGATGCTTATGTATGACCTATATAAGGAATGCCAGATGGCTTCTACTTAAGGCAGACAGTTTAGTAAATGAAAGTTCAATAAGACAGCCACAGAAACACTTCTATGTTTTTTATTTACAGATTTAACACAAATGCATCAAATAATGATCTCCCTGCTTTGCAGAACCCGGTGAAGGACAACTCTCTTCTGTTCATGCCAAATGTCCTGAAGGTCTACCTGGAGAATGGGCAGACAAAGTCTTTTCGCTTCGACAGCAGTACCTCTATGAAGGTGTGTGTGTGCGTGTGCGTGTATGTCTGTGTGTGTGTTTGTTTGTCGGTGATTTGTGCCTTTAGACTATAAACAGTTCAGGACATTTTTGGTCTTATCTGTTTCCACTCAAACTCATAGAAATTATGTTATGATGTCCTCCATGTCTCATCAAACCAATGCCTTGTACAGCTTTTATTCATAGTAAATTTGATGACAAACAGGAGTTTATGCAGCGAGTTTATGTTGAAAATTCACGATGTAAGCTAAAAAAACACTGAAAAGCTTATTGAATTTAATGAATTCATGCTACTCCACCTCTGTATCTGTAATGAACAGCAAAGGTTTTTCACAGTTCATTTGTTTTTGATGTTAACTTTGCTTACTTTTCTGTTTGTAGCATCTGAAAGAAGCATTATTTAACAGTTAAAAAAAAGAAAAGAAATCAACACTACAACTCAGAAGTTCTGACTTTGTTTGTGTCGTTGCATCAGGAAGTAATTCTGACCCTACAAGAGAAGCTTTCAATCAGAAGCATCGAGCACTTCTCTCTGGCCTTGGAGCAGAGGACTGAAGGCTCTGGAAGCAAACTGCTTCTTCTGCATGAACAGGAGATGCTTACTCAGGTAGAAGATGTTTCCTTTTTCTTACTTTGTGTCCTTTTCCATCAGAACCCCACACGCGCACACCGTCCTGTTTGTTATTCAGGCAGCACTTGGACCCCAGTGTCATTTATCAGCATGGGCACAGCAGGGGTGACAGCTCACATTACACTCCCCCTCCCACACTTTCTCACACAAACCCCACAGTTGCACAAATAGCAAGCACGCACTCACCTACAGTAGCCGCTACATTCTAATGAAGTTGCCCAGTAGCAGGAGGACAGTTTTGATATTCATGCCACACAGTTAAGATGTGAAAATCTGAATGTTGCATGCGCAACGGCAGGGTGTTTCAGAGCTGTTGTTCTCTGACAAGACTGATCAACCGTACAGATTGCAATAAAGCTGAGGGTCAACTCTGCTCTTTGGTTTACGCAAGAATGCTGGTCCGTCTTGAAATGAAGAATAACCTCTCACTCTGTGCACTTGTTCAATAATTGATCAAATCTGATCAATAATTCTAAGATCTTGCTGGTCTCCTGTTTTTTTCATGCATATGAGATGAAAAAACAAGTACAGCAACCAAGTGATGTTTTTTGTTTTTTTTATCATTCAGGGCTATTGACGCTGATATTGTTGGTGTTAAGAGGATTGAGAAACACTAATGGGATGACTGTATGAATATGAAAGCTACTGCTGCCACCGGATAACCACTGGCGCAATACAACCAGTGCTGCCCAAAATCCATCCATTTATCCATCCATGTATTTTCTGCCACACTGGCAGGTCTGGGTCGTGAAGAGCAACAGTCAAAGCAAAAGTTGCTCGTCTTCCACCTCCAATTCTTTTTAGGGGGCATCAATATTCCCCCAAGCCCAGCCGACATCTGATATTTTAACCAAGTTGAGAATCAGCCGTGGTATCTGGAAGCAATTGTGCCCTTGGAGGCACCCATAAGCATTCTAAACCAGTGGGCAAAAGAGCCTCAGCGATCAGTAACCCAGTCTTTCAGTCAATTCCCACAGAGTATGTTCACAGATGAGGGATGAAATGTTAATCAGTTTGTCCAAGATAACTTAGAGGTGTTTTTTCTGTCCTTGGCATTTTGCCACATAGCCCAAGAAAACCAATGTATGAGTGTGTAGTTAGCAATTAAAGCCATGATGTTACAACTAAAACGTAACCATTCGTCCAAACTACAGATGCCCTCGGAAGAAACTGGACAATATTTCACCATATTTATTGTGATTTAAGTTAGTAAGAGGTGGTGATTGAGTTACTGATGGGTGGATTAGAGTCTTCAGGCAGTTGTTGATCTGGTTGTCTGAACTTTGTTCCAAACTGCAAAGCCGGAGCTGGAGTGGGATAGAGTTTTAGATGATTGTGTATGTTAGTCTGAGTGAGTGTGCAGGTTGGCAGGCAGACAGATAGACAGGGCTTACGAGTGGCTGAGAGCCTACTGGTATGGCTGACACAGTTGGCTAAGCACAGAGTCTGAGGACAATAAAAATCAACTGGATGTCTGGCGAGAGGTTGAGAGAAAAGTTCAGAACGTTGCTGTTTTTTTCTGTGGTATAATTAAGGAATAGAAGAAAATGCTCATATGTGAAATGATTTTGCGTTGAGGCTTGGATCAGCCTTATTACCAATAAGATAATTTATTTACTGATGACTGACTGACTTACTAAAAGTCTATTAAAGTCTACTTTAACTTGTCCAGATGAGTTCATACCCACAATAACCTGAAGACAGCAGCTTTAATGTATATAAACATTTGTTTGTCAAAATTCTATAAAACTGGACCCTAAACTGCAATGAACTGCTGAAGCACATCAACCACTAAACTGGCTTGTGAAACATCCCCTTCTGCTGCCTTCCAGGCTTTCTGTGGCGTTGTACAAACATTACACTTCAGCAAGTCCTACACTGATTATTGATAATGTTGCACTTGCACATCGGCTGTTCCATCTAATCCCTTTTTTTTTTTTTTTTTTCCTCTTTTGTTCTGTTCCATCTAATCCCATCACCACAACTTCATACTGCAAGACCGTTTCTCCAACACATAATCTCATGGAAACGATTATACAAAGAAGGCCTCCTTTCAACTTCTTCATCATAATTTTTGAGTTTCCTATTTTTTGCTTTGATCACCTGTATGTGTATTCATGCTTCTCTTTTTCCAACTCTGTTGACCTCAGGTGACCCAGAGGCCTGGCTCTGACAAGATGAAGTGTTTTTTTAGACTCAGCTTCATGCCCAGGGACCCAGTCGAGCTGCTCCGGAGAGATGCTGTGGCCTTTGAATACCTCTATGTTCAGGTGAGCTGTAGTAGCAGTTCCTGAATTCTGAATATCTGAAAGGATCAAATACAGATCCCGGATCCTAAAATTGACTTTGCTATTCTTACCAAACTCTGCTTCCTGCTTTGCTGCAGAGTTGTAATGACGTGGTTTTAGAACGATTCGGCCCGGAGCTGAAGTATGACGCTGCACTTCGACTGGCTGCTCTGCAGATGTACATCCTCTCCATGACAACCAGGCAGAGCCAGAAGGTCTCCCTTAAATATATCCAGTAAGTTTGAGCAGAAATATAGCTGTTTTCATATGTATGTGTTCGATATTGAACTGTTCCACAACATGTGTTGGATGATATTAGTTTAGTTTGTGTTTAGTTTGTGATTTTTTATTTATTTAAGATTACCACATTACTGCCAAAATGGACTAAACGGTGGCTTTTATTGACATGGAATAGCACTTTAAGTAGTATTCTCAACATAGGAAATTTTCTCACTCTTCATGACCTATTGAGGAAACACTTAAATCAATTGAGACCATGAGATTCAATTCAGGATTTTGTTCTCCAACTGACAGCCAGCATGAGTGCTAATGTCATGATTGCAAGTGTTTAGCTCGGGTCCGGTTGAAGCATTTTTCTTCCAATGGTGTCTTTTTCCTGAAATCAATCTCCTCTCAACAGAAAGGAGTGGGGTCTGTCACTGTTCCTGCCTCCAACTGTGCTTTCCAGCATGAAGGAGAAAAACATCAAGAAGGCTCTGACACACATCCTAAAAACCAACCAGAACCTCGTGCCTCCAGGGAAAAAAGTAACCAGCGCTCTTTGTCTTTCCGTGCCCGTGTTAATAAACTTCGGACACATAGACAGACACACACTTCCCTGCCCTCTGTTGCACTATCCAAAGATAGCATCACCATACTTGGCCTTATAAAGGCTCTCACCTCTGTCAACCTAAGACCTGTTATGGAGCTAGACCTTGAATACTAATGTGAATAGCAAGCATTGTCAAAGTTTGCATAATGAGATATTAATATTCACACACACACACACACACACACACACACACACACACACACACACAC